GCCTTCACAAGCAACCGGTACCTCCTCCTCTTTTGGAGGGAAACATCATTGCAGACTCTGATATTGCCCCTACAGGCCCTAGACTCAGACTGGTACCCGCTAGACCTAGCCTACACTACCGGCCTCTAAAAATGCCACTTTTTGTCTTCTTCTGCTCGGCCTCCGGTACCTGCATATTTACCCCCCTGTCGGGTGCGGTACCGGCCTACCTGCTACTTGAGTGCTTTTTCCCCGCTGCAACCCTTCAAAGCCACGGCCACAGGTAAGTACCGGCCCTGAGGGCCCAATGAACGAACAAGTGCCCTGACGGGCCACACACACACTCATACCAACCAGCACTCAGACAGGCACAGTCACACACATGCAAGCCAACCAGCACTCAGACAGACATGCAGTCCAGCAAGCACACACACACAGACTTAGAAGGCGGGAACTCGGTAGGGCATTCAGTCTATGAGCAAAACTCAGAAATCAGTTGTGTGTTTCAGTCCATGTTTGGACGGGTTATCACACTACCCCCCCCTCAAGAGCGAGGTCCCTTCGAGCGAGTAACTCATTCTGAGTCCTTGGCAAATGCATCGTAGGCGAGCAAGGCAAAGAGATTCCTGGAATACTCTGTCGCAGTGAGCCTTGCTGAGATCTTGGGTGCAGCGTTAGCAGCGATTTGGTGCTCGTAGGCTTTAACAATGCGCGGTGCGCTGCGTAGCAGTTCCTGTTTGGAGATCCAGTACAGATCGTCTAACGGGTGGTACATAAAATGAACCTGGTACTGTCTGTTTCTCCCCTTACCTACATGCTGTTTGATTCTATCTATCTCATGCCCGCCCTTGATTGCGCGAGGGATCATATCTTCGCGGTAATCGTATGTCTCGGCATCACGGTGGAGATACAATTTAGATGCATGGAACACGGGATATGTGCGCAGGTGAGCTGGCACGTCTACAACGTACGAAGGGCCAAAGTCATTTTCACCAATCTTATCCAAAACTTCCCAGGGCCCATAATAGAGAGGGAGGAGTTTGCGTGAGACTCCCTCTTCTTCTGAGAATGCAGACATCTTGACCCAGACATAGCGTCCTACCTCAATATTTGACGGTCTGCGCTTCTTGTTCGTGTGATGGATCATGACGTGTTGTCGCTTGGTCATAGCTGCAATGGCAACTTTGAGCAAGCGATCATACTTGGCCCTGAAGCCAGGCCTGCCAGGTGTTAAACCAGTTGGCTGCTCAGGGAATAGGTAAGAGAGCGGATTCCGGATCTGCCAACCGTAATGCAGCCTGTTGGGTGTCATGCCGGTGGCGGAATGGACGGAGTTGTTGTATAACCCTTAATGGAATACAGCTCTTCATCCCATGTTTCCTGATCCGGGATAATCAAAGTGTGAAGTAGTTGAAACACAGTCTGGTTGATCTCCTCAGCCAAACCATTGGCTTCGGGGTGTCGGCCAGATGTCATGCACAGTTGATTCCTAGGTGAGACGTGAAATCCTTCCATTCAGTGATAATGAAACGCGGATCCCGATTGCTCACAAGAGTCTTCGGGATTCCGAATTGCAACAGGTATTTATGTTGGAATTCGTGAATCACTAGACCTGTTGGGGCGTGGGGCGGCAAAGGGATCAGATTAAGAAATTTTGAAAATTGGTCAACAATCACCATGACTTGTGAATACCCGTTTTTGCTTACCTTACCCATGTCAGACAGACTCCCTGGGACCATCAGGAATGGGTAGGGGTGTGAGTAGCTCCATGGGCTTTTGTCTGCATGGTTTGATCCGTTGATAGACTTGACATTCAACCACAAACTTCTCAGCAGTCCCCTTCATGCCAGGCCAATCAAACTGTCTCAGCAAATTAGCGTACGTTTTTGACATGCCGAAGTGCCCGCTCCGGCCATGAGCCAAATCCAGAAAGTGTGTGCGGAGAGGCTCATGGTTGGGTACACACAAACGGTCATGGTTCCCATAGCGACGAAAAACCAGTCCTCCATACTCGTGGAAATCAGGCTGACTATTAGGATCAGCCCGCAGCTGCTCAAGGATGGAACTAAGTTCCGGATCCTTGGTTGTCTGCTCTACGAGTTCCTCCTTCAGTTTCTTTTGAAGGTCGTAGGATTTCACAAGGCAAGTCATGTACTCAGGGCGGCGAGACAATGCGTCAGCGACTCGATTATAACAACCTTTTTTGTGTCTTAATTCAAAATCGAAGATGTCAATCTCATGAAACCAGCGAAGCAAGGTAGGGGACATGGTAGTTTGCTGTTTGATCCACTTCAAGGTCTCATGATATGAGAAGACTCTGAAGTGGCGTCCCAAAAGATAATGTTTCCAGTGATCCAACGCCATACGCAAAGCATAGAGCTCGCACATGTAGGTGGAAGTGGCTACCTTTACGCTGGGCATCCGTTTGCTGTAGTACTCGAGTGGTTGCAGGCCATCTCCGTCATCTTGTTGCAGCACTGCACCGATTCCATACTGACTTGCATCCGAAGTAACTACGAATGTCAGTTTGGGATCTACGATGCGGAATACTGGGTAACTTACCAAGGCTTCCTTGAGAGCTCGAAAAGCTTCCGTACACGCGGCCCCCAGGAATAAGGCACATTTTTACTGGTTAGTCGCGACAATGGACGAGCAATGATGGAGAAACGGGGTACAAACTTTCGACAATACGACGCCAGACCAAGGAAAGAACGCAATTCGCGAATGTTCGCAGGCTGAGGCAAATCGCGCATGACCTCAATCTTGGTTGCCTCAGGCTCTAGGCCTGCAGCAGACAACCGGTGCCCAAGATAGATGACGCTATCCTTCCCAAACTCAGATTTCTCCAAGTTGAGATGGAGTTGCGTCTTCTTGAGGATAGCGAGCACCTCCTCAAGATGCTTGAGGTGTTCCTCCATGGACTTGCTGAAGATCAGAATATCATCCAGGTACACTACCACAAACCGGCCAATCTGTTCGCGGAGGACCTTGTCCATGAGGCTTTGGAAAGTGACTGGTGCGTTCGTGAGACCGAAGGGCATTACGATGAACTCATAAAGCCCGTCGCGTGTTTTGAACGCAGTCTTGTGCTGGTCCGCAGGATCGACTTCAATCTGGTGGTAGCCAGACTTGAGATCGATCTTGGAGAAGACCTTGCACCCACCTACGGCATCAAGCAAATCGTCTATGCGGGGTAATGGATAGGCGTTCTTTCTTGTAATGACGTTTAGACCGCGATAGTCAATACACATGCGGAGTTTGCCTCCTTTCTTTGGAACAAACAACACACGAGCAGCAAATTCAGATTCACTAGGTTTGATCCACCCTTTGTCAATCATCTCATCGATCTGTCGCCGGAGTTCCTCCAACTCGCCGGGTCCCATACGGTACACGCAGCCCTTTGGAGGAATAGCACCCTCGACCAACTCGATGGTGTGTCGAACCGGTCGCATGGGGACTCCACCTGGCTCGGCCAAGACTTCCGGAAACCGATCGAGGAGGGCTTGGATGTCTGATGGGACAAGTGGGGGTGGGGAATCAGCAAAGGGATCACCAAAGTCCGGTCGCAAGTCGCGTATAGAGACGACCGAATCTGAAGTAGGATCATTTGGACTATTATAGGGTAGAGGGATAGAGGTGTTAGAAATAGAAGTACCAGAAGTACGATCATCAATCAAAGTAGTAGCGATATTAGCCGCAAAAGTAGATGGCACATGGGTAGGACGAACAAAGGCAACATACAACTGTTCTTCCTCCTTGTGCTTGCGCCATTTCTTGCAGAACTGCATAGCATTCAGAAAAGTCACTAGGGATTCGCGCTTCTCATCTAAGAGGACATGAAGATCGTTCCCCTGAGCATCTTTGACCATGAAGAGTGACTCCTTCCACTTGGTCCATTCGCATTGGGACTGCAGCCAGCCCAAGCCAAGGACAGCGTCGAAGGGACACTTGTCAAGGACAAAGAAGTTCAATGTGTGGGTGACAGTCTTGCCTTTGTCAAAGGTAGTGCGCACACCTTTGACTGCATGCGTGGTAGAGACAACTTCCTTGTTGCCAACTTGGGTCCGGCAAGGGTTATGCAGGGCCACTTGCTTCATCCCCAAGCCCACCTTGCGTATCCCATGTGGTGACATGAAGTTAGCTGTAGCACCACAGTCAACCAACACACGGAGATAGCGGTGGTTTATGAGAAGTTTAAAGAAGATCAACTTCACTGTCCCTTGGGCACGCTGCTGTTTCATCTCAGCCCAATGCTCCAAGTGGTAGTGGAATGCAACCTCTCGGACTCCTCCCAAGGCTCGACATACAAGACATTACTTACCTCAGCCTTGTCTTCAGCAGATGGTTGGGCTTCAAGGGAGGGCTGCTGATTTTCAACAGAACCGGACTCCCCTGCTGCAGGGAAACCAGAATCGGGCGTTATAGGCTGCAAAGGGATCACCAAGACCCGATTCTGGTTTCCCTGCAGCCTATAACAGTCCTGAACCTTATGATTTGGTTTCTGGCAATGCAGGCAAACCCCTTTCTTGAGTCTGCCCCGCCAGCCATTCTCAGTGATCCGGAGGTCAACCCAAGGTTTGGTAGTTGCATCCTCTGGTTTAGGCGGGATCTTGACTCCTTTGAGAAGTTGGACATAACTTTTCCCGGCACTCCGATTCGGTCCCTTAGTACTGACAGTCTTTTTAAAGGCAGAAAATTTTTCTTCTTCTTTATTTGCATCGGACTCATGGGTTGAAGAACAAGCTGTCTCGGAGTCCTGTTCTTGGTCGTCACCAAGAGTGGGGTCACCCGCATCGGCTTCTTCTTCGGCCTCCAGCAGGTCATGCACAGCAAAACGGCTGCTGCCCTGGAACCGTCTGTCGCCCATGGGCTTTTTGCTGCCTGCCGTGCTAACGAGGTCTACAGCCTCCAAACTGACTATGTCCTTCATTAAGGTGAGCCAGTCAATGTAGTCCCTGCCAAGGCGATTGGTGAAGTTAGTTGGAACCACGCCCTTAACCACATCTAAGCAAGATTGAGCAGACAATTCCAAACCAGGAGTAGCGAACATCTTGCTAAGATAGGTTTGCAGGCTTTTCATGGAGCCTGTACACCTGTTGCGCTTGACTTTGTCAAGTTGGATTCTTGCTCTAGCTGCAGCATGTGGATCCTGATATTGTGAGATAAGGAGATCCTCGAGGGAGGCAACCGGGGTGGTCCTAAGCCATCTGGCTAGTGCAGTTTTTTGGAACCCAGCCCGCGTCGCTTGGAATTCTAAGAAGCCTCGACATTCATTCCCATGATCACCGCCTGGGTCTCAGGTTGAGTCCCCAAAATCTCAAAGTAAGCCCTCATGGAGCCGATCGAGGACTCGATGTCCTCCTTGCCGCCGTACTTGGACGGCATTTGTACCGCCTTTCGGTCCACATAGGGACCAGCGTGGCTGGGACCAGCAACAACTGGTTCCGATCTTGGGGATGCAGCAGTTGCAGAATTGCCAGCCTCACTGCTGATCACAACAGCAGAGGAATCTGCACCTGCCGCAGGTCCCGAGGGGGTTGCCGTCACACTCAAAGAAGAGGTAGAAGAAGATACGGTGAGAGGGGCAGCGGTAGTTTCGATTGCAGCTTCAGATCCAGGGGGTAGAGGAAGAGGGTTGGCCACTTGAGCTTGTTGCAGGTCAGTCACCTCCTTTGTCAATTCATGGTACTTGCGGGTCATATCAGTCAGATCATCTTGAAGTGTTTGCAACTTTGCAAAGACTTCAGCGATTTGAGTGGTATGGTCCTCAAGATTCCTGACTTGCACAAAGGCTGTAAGTATAGACTGCAACTGTTCCCCACACTGCTCTTCAGTCAGTGAGGGGACAGTCTCTAGGAGGGCCACTTGCCTTTTCAGCAAGGTCTCCTTCCTCTCCTTCTCTGTCTCCTATTCCCTTTTGATTGCACTGTCTAAGAGTGCTTGCAGATAAGGTTTCTCAGCATCACTGGCTGCATCTAACAAGGCCCGCCATTGCACTGAAGTTAGCTGGGCCATTTTCGGACTGTCAGTATGGACAAGTGGGTCAGAGAGTGGCCAGTCAACAAAAGAATCAATCAGACTCTCAAGAGGTTCACTCCCCCTCTCGCTTGGACGAACACTCCTTTTCCCAGTCCTTGCCCACTTCAGACGATCACTTTCCCTCTCTCCTTGTTCTCTCTCCCTCCTCCCTCTCTCTTCTTTCAGATTGCCAGTCTCCACGGGCATCGGAAATGAACTCAGAAAAATAGACTGAAAAGCTCATAGAAGAGAAGGTAGAACTCCTAGCCGGAGCGGCATTTCATTTGGAAGTAGAGAACAGCAGCAAAATAAACAATCAAACTCAATGAGAGGTCTGATCCAGCGACCCAGTCTGATCAGACTGCATACGAGGTCCTCTCGAGTCCAGTCTGACCAGCTCCGTGTCCATTCAGCAAATTAGACAAGGAGTAACTAAATGCAACAATGGAGAATTGAGTGGTGTACAGGGTGCGAGTCAAGCCACGGACAGTGCAATCAGAATACATGCGAAACGTCTCAGCCAAGATCCCCTCGGCAGTGGGTGTCCTAATCCAAGAAGAATGAACCCGTATCCCAGCCAAGAAGACAAGAGGTCAATGCCTAACCGATTTGGGTCCAGAGGCCCTCCTTGTTTGGGCCCGGTCCCGCTGGGTCCCAAGGGTCCCGCTTGGTCCCAAGGGTCCCACATAGGTCTCAACCAGGTCCCAACCAAGAGGAGTTCCACTTGAACTTAGTTCAGTCTCTACTGCACTGAAAAAACGAAATTTCAACTTCTGGCAGAACCTGAAGACTACAACCGTTCAGTGATGAAAAGACAAAGCACTGTAGAAAGACTCGGCATATATGTCAAGATACTTCATTTTCCATCCATCAGGTGAGTAGGTAGATCACATGCATTCAGTCACACAATCAAGACCACAGAGGAGTAGGAAAAGAAACCCAAAGTACCCCAGCAGGTCAATCAATACCATACACACATACATGGGCATCCCGTAGGTGCACGACACTTACCTGAGTGGCCTTGAGCTTCGAGATGAAGAGAACTCACCCCCCTTCTCATGTGGTCCTCCTGACTCCTCTAACGCTACCCCTACACTAGTGTCCTATCTCCTAGGAGGGTCTGACTCCAACACCCAAGTGCAACGCCGGGTCCCCCGTCGATGGTGAAGATCAAAGTAGCAACTTGCAGTCCGTTGATGCAGAATGGCTGCTGGCCCTCAAGCTTGCCTACTTGAGGGTAGCCCTTAAGTTGCCAAGTGTCTCCCTTGAATCAGATTCCAGGTGCGAGTGCCTCTCATTGTCGCCTCTCTCAAATCGCCGCATGAAGTCTCCTCGAAATGTCTTGCCACCCTAATCTCACTCTCAAGCAACCTGGTTAGGATCTATGTTGACCCCACATGACCTAACCAGGTGGGGGCAGCTTCCCTCAGCCACGCTGCCCCACTTCCCTTCACCAACCAGCCCTAACCCTAAGTGTTGCCCTCAACCACTTAAATTAGGGTTAGGGCAGCAAGTCAACTCTCACCAGCAAGTAGAATCCGCTCCGATACCAATGTTATGACCCTGGCCAATTTCGAGATACACATCCACTGGAAAGTACAATGCCATCCAATTGCAGAAAGAAATGAATGAACTTGAGAGGTGAGAGAGGAGTAGAAGAAGAAGAAGAAGTAAGAAAGAAGANAGTACAATGCCATCCAATTGCAGAAAGAAATGAATGAACTTGAGAGGTGAGAGAGGAGTAGAAGAAGAAGAAGAAGTAAGAAAGAAGAAGAAGAAGATGTACACCAGCAAAGACAATGACAAGGCTCTTCTTCTTCGCCCAACAATCTCCTCCTCCTTATCTCCCCCTCCTCTTATTCATACAAGAAATAATAATACAATGTTGAATGACTGGTCCAGAATCAATGTCCGAGTCCCTCTTCTACTGCAGGTATCACTCAAGGTCCACTATGGCCATGGCCGCCTCTCCCACTCTACTAGGCCTTGCCCAGATGCCCAAAGGACAACCCAAAGCAGCTATGGCTGCTCTAGCTCAGGCCGCCATGCCCAACCCTGCCTTGAAGCTTCTTGGTGTGGCTCTCCCCGGCTGGGGACTCCTTGCTGCAGCGCCCACCAAGGTGATGAAGATGGCTGCCACCATAGCCAGGTAAGTACCCCGGGCGCTCCTCCCCCTTCCTTCCTCCTTCCTCCTTCTTCCTCCCTCATGTCCTTCTCCTTCCTCCCCAGCAGCTCTGCTCCAACTTAGCGCTGCTCCAGCCAGCGCTCCACCAGCCAAACTTGCACACCGAAAAAGAGGCCGGGTCTTCCGCCCGGCCTGAAGATATAGCGGCCTGCTTTGCCTCTTGGGCGGTGACTTCCAGGCCGCTGGCCTTCACAAGCAACCGGTACCTCCTCCTCTTTTGGAGGGAAACATCATTGCAGACCCTGATATTGCCCCTACAGGCCCTAGACTCAGACTGGTACCCCTGCTAGACCTAGCCTACACTACCGGCCTCTAAAAATGTCACTTTTTGTCTTCTTCTGCTCGGCCTCCGGTACCTGCATATTTACCCCCCTGCCGGGTGCGGTACCGGCCTACCCGCTACTTGAGTGCTTTTTCCCCGCTGCAACCCTTCAAAGCCACGGCCAAAGTACCGGCCCTGAGGGCCCAACGAACGAACAAGTGCCCTGACGGGCCACACACACACTCATACCAACCAGCACTCAGACAGGCACAGTCATACACACGCAAGCCAACCAGCACTCAGACAGACATGCAGTCCAGCAAGCACACACACACAGACTTAGCAGGCGGGAACTCAGTAGGGCATTCAGTCTATGAGCAAAACTCAGAAATCCGCTGTGTGTTTCAGTCCATGTTTGGACAGGTTATCACATCGGAGTGGTTTCACTTCTTTTTTTCCGACTGCATCCCCGAGGATAGGTGGAACGAACAATTCCTCGGGGACCTTATGCGCCCGAGGAGTGTTGAACGAGCCCCTGTGTCTTCGATTTGGATGAACCAATTGGCCCCCAAGCGGAGTGACAACCACTGTGACCGTGCTTTGTTTGTTTGTTTGTTTTTGCCACTTTTTGTACCATTCCTCGATTTATGCGTCACCCCCACCCACAAGTGCTACTATCTCTTAAATTCTCCTCCCTCAGTTGGCATAGTCAGTACCTTTTGTTTATTGGTGCCGTGTCGTGTCTCCTCGTGCACCCACGGATACAAACCGGCATACTCAGCCTCAAGAGCCGAGTTCCTTAACCACTACACACAGCCATGGCTGGAGACGTTCATTCTTTAACCCTTAGCGAAGAAACAGTGCCACTGGCGCTTGGCCCTAGAAAAGTCCAGACTCCAGATTCTTCAGATCGTCCGTGACGACACGACCTGTCCCTCCCTGGAATCCAGCCAGCAGTTGCAGCTATCAGACTCATCACTCAATTCGACTCAATTGTTGTTTTGTTTACCGCGCAATTCATAGCAAACTTCCATGCAGGTCATACAGGAGGAATAGCCGCAATTTCGTCAAAATGGAGCTTTTTTTTTTTTTTTTTTGACGAAATTGAAACCGACTAAATTGACCCCGAATCGGGTCAGAAATTTGACTAAATTGAGGCTCCATCGTTCTTAAAACGCTGTACCCCCTGGACTCCAGCTAAGTCCAGATACATACACAGGGTCTGCCATTTTCAGAACACTGGTCTCTCAAGAGCTAAACATTTTTAACCTGAATCGGCCCAATTTAGTCGGTTTCAATAAAAGTCCGTTTGACCAAATTGCTGTTGAATGTCCCCCGTTCGAGAAATGCTTCATCACATAACATGAATCATGATCAAGGCTCATCAAGCTGAAAATCACATGCAAGCCACAATGACACAATCAAATCATTGATGAAAAACAATGCCGCCAGCATCCGTAAAGTTTGTAAGGGACTTTCAGACTTCAAAGAGAAGTCCCCTCCCTCTCTGACACTGTGCAGCACCGTCTTCAAAAAGGCTAAAAAAGCTGCATTGGGATTTTCTTTTTCTTCGACACGTTCCACAACCACGAGCTGCGGCGTCTTTGAGGCCCAGCGGCCAGCGCCATTGCTGCATGAAAAATGCCATGAATCCATGATCGATGATTTGGTGGTAGGGCTGTATGTGACAATTTTAGATTTGGTGGTAGGGCTGTATTCAGGGCACATATGACGTTGCAGCTGTATATGACCGGTGGAGATTTGGTCGCAGCAAAAAAAAGTTCCAGGCACTTTACCAGGAATAGGATGTCAAATTGTCAATCACTGAGAAATTCCGTTCTTTTTGTTTAGATAGTTAGGTTATTCATCATCATTATTAATTTACTACGTTCTTTATTTTGATATATTGAGCATTATTATATAGTATATACTATTACTATTATACTTAGTCTATTATTGTCATAATCGACTATGATTTAATTCAGTAACTTTTCAATTATTATTTACTTCGTCTGATAACTTAATGACGCACATTTCAGTATGATTTACAT